TAAACCGCTTAGAGAGGGCTGAAAGCCCTATGAAGCGGTATATAAGTCTAACTGCTATTGCTATTGCTAATTTGATCTTGTCATTTACATTTCTGTTACATTTATTCATGATATTCCCTATGTTCCAGTTCCTACTTCTTACAATAACTTTGTAAGATTGATGTAAGAGACAATGATTTGAATATGGAATTCAAACTCTGAGATTGTTTTCCATTGTAGTGCTCTTTAGGAGCACTGCATTATTTGAAAGGACAGGTTGGTGAAGAAGAGTCAAACCACCAAATCTACAAACAATACAAGTACTATACAAATACAAGTATATTAAATTGGGACTCTTCTTCAGAAAATTGAATTGGGGTAATCACACCCAGAATCCATATCTGGCAATCAGCAAAGCAGCTAAGAATATTCAGTCTTTATAGAACAAACAAAAACTATGAAATTTTTCAAGTTCTACCAATAGTAGAATAGTGATAGTATAGTATTTTGTTTTCTTTCATTATCTGTTGCTTCTTGACCATCATTATCCATTGAAAATTTTTGGAGAATCTCAATATTTTGAGCCTTTCATGTGGATTGTATCTAATGAAGGTCTTCAGCTGTGGAATGTTTTTTCTCATGTAATAGCATAGCTGTTTTTTGACCATTGAGTTGGAGGAGGAATTGTTAGTATAATGTTAAATTGTCAAATTAAAACAATATTGTATTATGGCCATCAGCCATCAGTACAAACATTTAACAATTGCTAATTATTATGGATGTTTTTCTTTCTTTTCAGGCCGAAATACCTCAACTTGTGAGTCAAATCTATCAGGATTTTTTTGTGGAAAGCAGAGAAATTCCTGTGGAAAAAATACTATACAAAGAGATACAACAGAGTCTTGTGGGCAACAAGGGCATTGAGGTGTTTTATAAAATTCAGGCTGATATTTATGAAACATTGAAAGACAGATACTATCCATCATTCATTGTCAGTGATTTATATGAGAGGCTGATCAAGAAAGAAGAGAGGACTCCAGTCCAAATGGCATCTGATGACAAAGATGATGTGAGTTGTGCCTTATAAATGTCTTTCTCCTTCCCCGCCCCCCTTTGTCCAGTTAGCTCATTCTCTTATTACAGTGTTTCTCAACCTTAGCAACTTGAAGATGTCTGGACTTCAACTCCCAGGATTCCCCAGCCAGCATTCGCTGGCTGGGGAATCCTGGGAGTTGAAGTCCAGACATCTTCAAGTTGCTAAGGTTGAGAAACACTGTCTTATTAGTATCACTTACTGTATTTCAGGAACTCTCATCTCTCTTAACTCTTTTCCAATTACCTTTTCCTCTTTTACAGCCCTTACTGTAATTGTGAGACTGCTAACATCTTCCATCTTCAACATCAAGATGTGTTATGTTTGGCTTTAGTTTTCTTTAAAGTCCAAAAACTCTAGTTCTAAATGGTCTCATTATGCTAATGAGACTGTTTTCTCAATTGAATAGTATGGTATTTGTGGATAGGTGATTTCTCTTACTCTGCTCTTTGAGGAAGAAAGTTTTAGAGCCAAGGTGGCGCAGTGGTTAAATGCAGCACTGCAGGCTACTTCAGCTGACTGCAGTTCAGCAGTTCGGCTGTTCAAATCTCACCAGGCTCAAGGTTGACTCAGCCTTCCATCCTTCCGAGGTAGGTAAAATGAGGACCCGGATTGTTGTTGGGGGCAATATGCTGACTCTGTAAACCGCTTAGACAGGGCTGAAAGCCCTATGAAGCGGTATATAAGTCTAACTTGCTATTTAAGGAAAACAAATCAGAAAGTTCTTGGAAGAACCATGCTTGGGATAACTTGTTTCTGAAGAGATCATGATAGTTTCTTTTCTGATTTATTTGTTTCTTTTAAAGTGAAATGCCTGTTCCTTAAGATTGCTGAGTTTCTTTTTAATCAACTTTTTGCTAGAAATTTCCTTTTTAAAATAAAATACGGTACATTGATCTTTAATGGTCCTTTTTAAGGTAACTTGTTCTCTGGAGGGGGGGGATGAGTCATGGGAACATTTTTTTAAAATCATTGTGAGGATTATTCTTGCTGTTTGTTAAAGTAATTTAGATTCACTTTGAGGTGGCTTCCATTTGGACAATTCCAGCAGGTGTACCTGGGGCAGTTTTATAAAGTTACCTGGAATGTATTTTTGCCTGTGATTCCTTATCATGTGGGCAGGGTCCTCCAATCTGTGAACTCAGGGTCCCCTGTTCCTTAAATCCAGGTCCCCCATCATCCATCAAAGCCTTCTGAGAGGTGACCTGCCATTGAGTCCATGCAATGATAACTGTATGGAGAGGGTTGTCTTTGCAGTCTTGAAAGGTACATTCTCTCCTCAAGAGTCTATCACTGGATCCAACAGTTCTGGGCAACTCCATCCACTCTCTAATCATCCTTTATAAGAAAGTTTATTGAGAAAGGGATTGGGCTTCAGCTCCAGAGTAGGCTGATTATCTGGACCCATTTCATTTGACTTTCAGGCCAAGTCACATTATGGAGCCACCCTTGAAAACTCTTGCGGATGACTTTTGGTCTAAGCAGAATTAGGATAAGTATGCCTTTCCTCATGCTCCTTGAGTTCTCAGTTTTAATACTGTCAATTGCAGTATCCTTCTGGAGCAGCTCTGAGATTTGGAATGGGCTCACTTTTTGCATTGGTCCTCTTCTTTTTCTGTGGCCAGTTTCAGTCAGGGCTAAAGAGAATGGGGTGGAAATTGAGCCACAGGCTACTCACTTATTGGCTTCTGTGCGGCTTGATAGGTGCTGCAGGGTATTTTCATTTAACATCCTCATGAAACTACTGGGTGAGGTTATGTGTTGGTCCAGCATATATTATCAGACTATTGATGATTCCAAATGATGCTTCTTGGTTCTGTGATAGTGAAGTGATGTTATATCAGTCAAGTGCTTGTCCCCATTTCTGGAGGCTGTGTGGGTCTGAATCCTGAGAAGACTTCATGGCTGCAGATATTTGGGGGCTCTGCCTCTGGAGAATTTTCCTTTCTGGTCTTAGATGGAGTTGTTCTTCTCACCATACAAGACTAGTGTACAACCAGTAGGTGGCAGCTGGGATCAAAATAGCCTTTGTATGAGCATACTTAGTGTGACAGAGTGGCCTTTGTTTGATCAAAAGGCCCTAGTGTCATCTCATGAATAGGTTACCATAGCACAGTGTACATGGAATTGCCCTTTTCCCTTTTTTTTGTTATATTATTTCTGCGGCTGTTCATGATTCGTTTTTGTGTATTTTTAAAAAAATTGTAATTGTAAGCCACCAAACCTTTGGATATCAGGCAGTCTATAAATTATATAAATAAATAAAAAGATGTTTCAGTTATGATAACAATGTTCCCAGCTAGCCTATTATGTTGCTTGCATTAGTGCCAGTAGAATGCTCATGCCCCTTTACCAGTCGAGTGTTCTTTGGCACATGCATTTATTATAATTAGAAGCTGTATGAGCTCCTGATTTTAGACACTATGTTCCAAAATGAGAATAGAATGAGCTTGTATTGTCTGGTTGAGTGTTCCAGTACTGTAGTTCTGTGTATAAGATGTGACTTGTATTAAAGTATTAGAAAATATAGGAATATAATATATAGAACATTTGAGTATTCTACAGTTTTTTGAAAATAAATACACTTCCTATTGATTTTGAGAACAAAATAAGAACTAAAATTTTATGACATTTCTGGTGAAGATGTTTTGATTCTCTCTGCCAAGGACTTCTGTATTTGAGAAGAAACATAAACAAAGTTATGGCAAAGGATTTGTCATACATAGTTACAATGCTGTAAATTCTAAATATGCTTTTCATCTGTGAATATAAAAATAATGATGATGAATAATTTTGTAAATATTATGGGTGTTTTTATTTATTAACATTTTCATTGTTCTCTGCTCAGAAACTAAATTTACCAAAGGAAACTTGCCTGAACAGGCACACTTTCATCAAGTCAAAGAGATTTAAATGTAAATCTCATTTTAGTTTCACATACTTCATTATTAGTTTGCACCTACTATTCTTTGCATAATAATATGCTGGGAATCCATGAAATTCTTTTAGTGATCTACATTACTTGATAATGAATTCTGTTTCTCCTAGAGACAAGTTTGTGAAGAAGTTATTGATGGAGGAAGCTCAGTAATTAATGAACAGGCCAGTTTTGCTGTAAATAAACTACGCCAATTAAATGACAAACTTGAATACAAGAGACAAGCTCTAAATTCGCTCTGTAGTTCACCAAAACCTGACAAAAAGGTAGGTAGCTATGTTTTTTTTTAAAAGCGTATCAGTCAATAGATTTTAGAGTAATAGGCAATTTTGTTTAAGAAGTCTTTCCTTCAAAGGTAAATTAAATGTTGCTGTCCTGTCTTCTCATTTAGTATTGTTTATATATTACTGCCTTTGTAAAGCTCTTAAAACATGTATGGACAATCCATTCAGTATAAGTATTTCCTTAGGCAGGTTTGGTAATTACCGATATTTCTATATTTATGTCTGTTTTACATTTATTAATCTCCAAATCTTGATTCCTAGCCCTGAAGTCCTCTTGCAAAACACTAGTGGCTGAGCCTGGGAATATTGTATGTTTAAAGATTCAGGAGCCCTTTTTTCAAAGACCAAGTCGAGAAATAGTTTTGGAAGATGAGGATCCCAAATTTTTGTTTATGTCACAAATCCAGGCTTCGTTATGCCCTCGCGTGCCCTGACAAATGGCTCCGCATGCCACCTGTGGCATGCGTGCCATAGGTTCGCCATCCCGGGGCTAGGGAATCAAAGGAGTTGAAATCCTCACTTCATAAAGTTGCTGAGGTTGACTAATATTACTTTAAATTGGTGTATTGAGAACTGCTAGTGATCAGTATCAGCTTAAAGCTTAACACTGATATCTAAATCAACCTTGGCAGCTATTTTTCCTTTGGCAGATTGTTTCTAAATTGAAAGATGAAATCAGTCTGATGGAGCGAGAACATAGTGACCTTCAATTGCATATTGAAAGAACAGACTGCTGGTGTGAAAATCTTGGCATGTGGAAAGCCTTCATTAATACTGGAGAGGTATGGCATCTTTTTGCTGTTGCTGTTGCTGCTGCTGCTTACTGCTGCTGCTGTTAAATGAATGGAATCTTGCTATCAAATGTTTACTTCACTTAGAGAACTTAGAGTTCTCTAAGAATGAGGTAAAGGTGGGTTTTTTCATTGCTTTGAAATAACAAGCCATGGAGAAGCATAGCATGTTTAGTCTGATGTCATTAGGGGGTAAATGATGTTGCAATAGTCTATTGTTTTATTTTTAAGACTTTGGGAAAGGCTACTGAAAACATGCACCTAAGACTTGTATAGAACACCTATTTCGCTTCTTGAGTTGTGTGAAATGAGAGACAGAGAGCCTGCAAAGGCACTGCTTATCATTTATCCTAGCATTTGCCTGTGTGCATACAGAGTCATTGAAGCAGTTTCTGAAAATGCCACACAAGCAGGGTTGCCAGAATATTTCTAAGACGGGTGCTTCATATGTGTGATCCCACTGTAAGGATTTCTTCTGAGTCTGCTAGTCTTTCAATCTGCCAATCTAATGCCCTCTTTCTCCATATACTGTATTTCCTATCCAGAACCAAAGGGAAATACTGTTGTTTCTTACCTTTAAAAGACAATTTATTTTACAGGGAAAATAAGCTTGTTATAAATTCAGTTACATACAATAATTCTTGTGACAGTATGAACAAGTTAGTATATGGTTTTTTTAAAGTAATGGTGTGTAGAGTTAACATTTTATAACTCTTTATTTTCCTAGGTCATTGAAGAAAATGGTGAACAAGTGCCCTATTATTCTGTTGTAGTGATATTACAGGAGATTGGCAGGGTTGAAGCAAAGGAGTGGACAGTTGTTCGAAAGCTCAATGAGTTTCAAAGTCTGCATCGGAAACTCAGTGAGGTACAGAGAAGTTATGGAGAGAATTGTTGCTTACCTTGAGAGTTTGATTGAAATAGTTTAAATCTTGTTTCAATAGTTTAAATAATATTAAAAATTTTATTTTGGAATATTTTTAATTTTTGTTTCTTTTTATAATCTGTTTTTGTATTGCATGATGCCTAAAGTCACGTTTTATGTGATGCGTGGCCTTATAAATGAATAAGCAAATCAGTGGGTGAGTTCTTTGGGATGTAAGGGTATTTTATACTCCCATTTAATAAGGCAGGACTGTGGGTTGCCTCAGGTGGAAAGATGCCACCACAATATTAGTGCCATTTGCAAACCTTCAGTAGAACTTCAGTAGAAACAGATAATTGGCTAGGTTCTGCTTCTTTGCATGGGGAAAATGGAGCAAAAGAATTCTTTTGTCCCAGTCCACACAAACATTATTTATTGGAACAGTAAGCAGATTTGAAAATTTGGATTTTTGTTCTTTTGGTGGACTCAGTTAAACTCATATATTTTTTCCAGAATATATACAATTACTTGCTTAAAAATAGTACATNACCTGTTGACATGCACAGATTCTTTATAAGGAGCTCTTGTGGATTGTAGGGAATGTTTTTTCTGCTCTAACAGCATGACATGTTTTTAGAAGAATGTTGAACTAATAGGGTATTATAAAATCTGCAGAAGAAAAACAAGTTTTCAGGATCTTCAAGAAATTCTTACTGCTCCTTGCAGCCTTAAGGAAGTAATGCTGCGTGTGGGCTTATTGCACCTCATAGATATTGTAATCTGGCTTGCTTATAAATAGTTAATTGTCATAATCTTATTCATTCCTACCTCTCAGATACTTCAGTTTGAAGATATATTGTGTAATCCATCCTACAGAGAGCACTTTCAAATATACATGGAAAGAATGGATAAGAGAGTTCTGATCAGCTATTGGGAATCTGTAGAATACTTGAAGAATGCTAACAAGGTACATAAATAGGTTTGTCAAGTGTGGTTACTGAAAATTAGTCTTTCTTGAGGCAAAATGTAGCTTGTAAATCAGTGTTGCACCAAAATACTTAAAGGCCTTTCCCATTGCTGAATTTGTGCTTTGTTTGAATTGGCAAAAATTCAAAACAGGCATGAACTGTTGCTGTCCTCATTGCCAATCTCTGTTCTGTCTCTATTGCCTTGTTTCAGTTCCCTTCAGTGAATTCTGGCCAAGCAAATGGGTGACAGATGGCCTAGGAGATTTTGTATCCTTGTGCTGCCCTTGGATCATGTTGGACTAAGAGAGAAAACACTACAAGCCCATTAGAGAACAACTTAAAGTATCTTATCCTTGGGCTGTATGAAGGCAACAATGTGGGAATATGGCAGAAAAATTGTGTTGCCACAACATGTTAATGCCATGTTTATATGCAAATTGGAAAAGGCCCTTTAGGTTTTTTAAATGCAGCTTGTAAATTACCATTGCTTTAGTACATAAAACATTTATTTGATGGGATGATACAGGGGACAGATCTTACACTTACTTACCTTATGAAGAGAAGAGAGAATTAAGAAAATGAGGTACTGAAATGTAAGCTATGGTATTTGATGATTGAATCATGGGTACTCATAGAGACTGGAATTCAAATCCAAAATTTTATAGTTGCACCTTTTTTGTTCCTTGTTATGTTTTAATTCTAAAATAGAGAATGGAGTTGTGTTTTACAAATATTGTTTTGCTGGTTAATTTAAATTACCTTATTATGATCATCCTCTTAACCCGATCCTCCATACATGTTGCATATGTACCTTGTACAATTCTCAGCCAGCTTGTCAGAATATTTGAACTAATTAGTTGAGAAAGGCAGTTAATACCTTTGCTTCCAACACAGTCTGCAATGAATGAATGACATTCCATCCAATTTTTCAAAAGTAACAACAGGAAAATTGTTCACCGTATTTGGGTATCATTTTTTCAGTAGAAAATTTGATTATTTGTTTTATGAACTTGATAGTACAGGGGTGTGAAACTTGATTTCATTGAGGGCCACCTAGAGTTGTATTCCTCAGAGAGCCAGAGTGAGTGTCGTTGGGGTGGGCGTGGTCATTGTGGATGTGGTAAGCATGATCATGATGGTGTTTGACACAGACTCCGGATGCATTTCACCCCCTTTGCATTCAAAACAGCTATTCCAGACAAAGGGAGATTTACTTTCATGTAGAGTCCCCAGTTGCTATGGGGCTTTATTCTTTTGTATAGGAGCAGATTTGAATATGTGCATAATATTGTCAGAACAGAACAGAGATGTTCAAAAGCCTACCGTATTTTTCAGAGTAAAAGACACATCTTTTTCCTTCAAAAAGCGTCTTATACACTGAATACAGCATTTTTGGCCTCCTGAAATCCCGCCCAAATGCAAAATGGCCGTTTTTAGGAGGCTTCCAGAGTGCTCCTGGGAGCTAGGGAGGGCAGAAATGAGTGAAAAACTGGCCGCTTTTTGCTCGTTATAACCCCCCCCCAACCTCCAGGAGCACTCTATAAGCCTCCGTTTTCACAAAAATTGGAGTTTTTTGCTCATTTCCCCCCCTCCCCAGTCCCCAGGAGCACTCTACAAGTCTCCTAAAGGCTATTCATGCCCTTTTTTGGACAACAAATGGGCCCATTTTCAAAACAAATGGGCCGTTTTTGGGAGGTCTGCAGAGTGCAGAAACTTTTTTTTTAATTTGCCTCTTCAAAATCTTGGTGCGTCTTATACTCTGGTGTGTCTTCTACTCTGAAAAATACGGTAATTAAATCTCACTGACTTCATTGAATTTTATGCATACTAGTCAAAATCTGCCTTCTATCTGCCAGATTTGCACACTATCCAATCATAGCATGATTTGATTTTGACTCTGTGTATTCTATAAATTCAGCCATTTGTGCTTTACACAGTAAATCACAATTTAGAAATAACCACTGGACATTTTCACATGACATACTGTAATAAAAATAATCTTATAGTTTGTGCATACTACCATATCCTACATCCAATGATGTTCTGTATGTTAAGTTTTTAGGCTCACTATATCGTTTACAAACCTGTTCTGACCTAGGCTTTCCAAGAGCATGAAGCAAACTCCTTTTATTAATTTACTGTGAATTCTTCTCACTCACATCCAATAAAGTTTTTCAAGGAGGATTTACAGTCACAGACCTTATCTGGCTTGGAGGGCTGCCAGGGCGATATCTGCAAAACTTGGCAAGGAATCTTGGAGAGTCACGAACCTTTTGCTCCTCTTTTATTTTCTCTGTCCACCTGTGGCCTTACTTCCAAGTCGATCCCTGTTCTTTAGCTGTTCCCTTCATCTGGCAACTCTGTGCATGCACGCACTGGGAACAGGCTCCAGCTATTCGTCTGCCTCACTGGTGTCTGACTCTGAAGGCAGCTGATAACTGGCATACTGCCCTGCCCCTCTCTCTGCCTCTGACATAGACCCTCATCAAAGCCTTCCCCAGACTCCTTATTCTTCCTCAACCTCCTCATTGTCTGAATCTGCTGCCAGTTCCCCTGTCCACTGTTGGGCCACAACAAAACCATTATGGGAAGATAATGCAATCCATTTGTAAGTCAAAACCAAACTTATTACATTACAGCCATAGATAAGTGAGCAAACTCTTTCGATTAGGCCTGCTCCATATTTTTAAACTGGATACAACTAGGAATAAAGCAGCCAAGAGCATGGGAAAGAAACTTATAAAACGTGCACCAGATTGCTGTAGGAGGCCATTGGGGTGACAAACAACCCATTTGGGGGGAGGGAGGCTGCAGCCCATTTAGGGCTGCCAGACCGCTATAAGAGGCCCTAGGGGCCAAAAAAGGACCCAAAACAGGCCAAAAACAGCCTCCCCTTGGGCCGTTTTGGCCAGCAGAGGCACCAGGGGCCAGTTTTTTGATATTTCCAGGCCAGCCCCACGGGCCAGTTTTAAGCACCTCATGTGCTGGATTAGGCCCGTGTGCCTTGACTTTGACACCCCTGCTCTAGTGTGTTGTATCTGCAATCTTTTGTTTTGTTGATTCATATATTTTGATGTGAGCCGAGGTGGCGCAGTGGTTAAATGCAGCACTGCAGGCTATTTCAGCTGACTGCTAGTTCGGCAGTTCGGCGGTTCAAATCTCACCGGCTCAANTGTATTTTGAAAGAGTAATGCCATCTCCTTTGAAATTCCACTCATTTCTTCCTTATTAAGTATCTTATTATGTTTTCAAACATTCCACTTTTGTCCAACAATCAAAAAACTATTTGTTCAATCCTTAAATTGCCCTTCAGGGAGTGTGCTAGTCCCAATTCTTTATATCCCATATATAACTCAGTTCCATTTAGATAGTCCCAGAGGTTCTCAAAAGCCTCTTTGCATCCCTTTTGCAGGTTCAATAACCTAGCATAACATTCAAGTGTCCCTTTATTTGAATAGTTTCCTCATTTTTATATTTGAGTCTCCAATAATCATAGGGTAGCTAAAAATAATCCAATATATATTTTCACTTTCATATAGATGTAGTTTCCCTTTCATCAGTAGGTGGCACTTTCCACTTAAATTTCAGTATTGCTATTCTAATGTCATTTTGATTGTAAAAGAATTATAAAAGCAGAATATGTTTCATGGATAAATAATTCCAACATTTAAAAATGCCTTCCCAGTACCTCTACCAAACCTAAATTATACCATGCTATATAATTGTTGAAAATAGATGATCCAAACTGTTCTGTCCCAGCTTCTAAATTACACTGATACCGGCTTGGCTGTCTGCCATGACTAAGAAGGGAGATAAACCATCCCTTGGCTAGAAGCCCAGACAAATAATCTCCATGAAAAACAAGACTAATGGAACTCGGAGGGAAGAGCCAAGGTCGTGACGATATGGTCGTGCGGTCTCGATGCTCTGAGACCGCAGCCAATACTTTTGCTGCTGGGTGGTCCAAACGGACCTAAATCGTCCTGAAGAGATGGTGAACAGGAAGAATACTGATCTCGGAAATATTGCAAAATC